GGACCCGCGCGCGCGGCTGGCCGCCCCCCGGCACCCCTCCTTGAGGCCGCGGTGGACAAACCTCCTCCTCCTCCTCCCCCTCCTCCTCTTCCTCCTCCTCTTCCTCCTTTAGTAAAGCTCCCCTTAGGGAAAACGGCCTGGGACCGAAACCGAGGGGCCTGGACCCGCAAGAAGTGACGGCCGCGACGCCCTCTCGCGAACCGGAAACGGCCAATGCCTGAATCGACGTGTCGGGGCAGGAGGTCTGTCCACCCCCGACTGGAGGCAGCGCGGCAGCACCAGGCTGCAGGGGCCCCGCGGCGCATCGGCGGTGAACGCTGGGCCGCGGCACGTCGTGCTACGCCAGGGGGGGAGGGCGGAAGGAGGACCCCGAAAGCTGTAGAAGTAGACCATGCGAATACTACTCTCCTCTCCCCCCTCGCTCCGCCCGGAACATCTTCGACCCTCTCCGCGTGCTGGCTTCCTCACACAGCGGATGTCCAACGATGTTCTTGTGTGTGTGAGAGAGAGTGTGTGTGTGTATTGTGTGTTGTCGTTGTGTTGGCGTACATGCGTGCGTGCGTGCGTGTGTGCGCGTGTGTGTATGTGTGTGTTGGGGGGGAGGCGCGCGTGCGTGCGTGCGTGTGTGCGTCTGTTTGTGCGTGCGCGTGTACGTGTGCGTGTGAGTGTGCGCCTGTGTGTTGTGTGTTGTGTGTTGTGTTTTGTGTGTTGTGTGTTGTGTGTTGTGTGTTGCTTGCTATATGTTGTGTGTTTCGTGTTGTGTTGCGTGTGGCCTCATTTTCGGATCGGTGCTCGCCCCAGCGCGGGCCACTGTTCTGGATCCGAGTCTTTCTTCATCGCTGTCGCCCTCCTCAATTCCCCTCCATCGCATTCCCCTGGTCATCCTGTTCCTCCCACTCCTTACACTGCAATTCCTGCTGCTGCTGTTCGTCCTCGTCATTTCCTCCTGCTCCTCCTCCTGCTCGCCCTCCACCTCCTGGTCTTCCTCCTCCTCCTCCTCTGCATGCAATTTCATCTCCCCGATTGCGCCTAATAGGATAAGGCCCTCTTAGTGGACTTGCAGGTCCGCCATGGCACGCGCCCGCGGACAGAGAAAAGTCATCGCAAAGGGTAGGGAAACGTTGATTCAATGTTGGGCCGCGCCTACGTGTGTGTGTTTGGTCGCTCCGTGGCCATGTGTGCACGCGCTTGCTGGAGGATGCGCTTGGCAAGCACAGAGGACAACAAGCAAGCTTCTCTTTCTCTCTCTCTCTCTCTCTCTCTCTCTTCTGGGCCAGGAGGGCTCTCCAGCGCTCGGGCATTGACACAAGCTTGACCCAAACCACAGAGTACTGCCATGGCGGAGAACGGCGGAGGCAGTGGTTCGAGCGTGCGGGATCATAGATTCTTTTCGAGAAGGAGTCATCGCTGTTCGGGAGTACAAGGCCTGGAAGAAATGAGCGAACGCTCGACAACTGACGTCGAGAAGGGTCGTGGAAGCAAGGACGAGACTTTCGGCCCGATGCTTTACACCCTCTTGGAGGCCGTGGCGGTGGACGCCCTGAAGCACGTGGAGCTGGAGGAGCTGGCCGTGGAGACCGGCAAGGAGAAGCTGGTCGCCGTCATGGACGCGAGGTGCCCGGAGCACGAGGCGGCCGATCGCGAGGGCTACGCTCTGGAGTCCTTGCTCGGCCTGAAGATCGAGAGGTCAGAGCTCACCAGTGCCTACGCCGGTGGTGCCCAGACGATATTCTTGAAGGCACAGAAGGAGGGCGTCAAGACCCCAGATGTCGCCAAGGGGGTTCTCTTGTTTCGGGGTGTGCGCCTCGGCAGTGACAGGCGCGCGGTCGTCCTGGCCGCGAGTGAGAGGCAGTGGGCATTCGACAAGCTCGCGATGCCACTGAAGACGGTTGACCCTCGAGTGCTGCAGGATCACTGAATCCACCTAGTTGGTGAGGACTGCGCCCAGGGCGCTGTTGACGAGGAACCGGCTCCCGCTGGGGGCAGCACCGAGGAGGTGGACGCCTCCCTGGCGGAGGTCGAGCAAGACCGGGAGGAGCCCATCGAGGAGGCTGGCCGCGTGGAAGGAGACCCGGGTGGCCGTTTGCGGAGGAGCGTAGAAGAGGTGGCCTACCGCCGCCGCCAGGCCCCGTACCTGAAGAAGTTCTCGAGCTAGGTCCGCTGCTGGTCTTGTCGTCCTGTCGGCCACTTCAGGCAGGAGTGTCCACAGCGGTCTCAGCAGGGTGGTCAGGGCGACGGCAAGACCCGGATCGTCAGTCCCTTCGGCATAAAGTTCGGTGAGAGTGTCGTGGAGAGTGTCTTCGCTGAGGAAAACAAGACAGAAGCAGACCCCTGGCAGGAGATCGAGGACGTTCTGGAGATGCTAGAGGTTGACCCGTGGCGTGAGATAGAGGACTTCCTAGCCACCTGGGATGGAAAGCCGATGTCTTCGTGAGAAACAGACGAAGGAACACTTCAGGCGCCAGAAAGAACGAGATAAAGGACGACGCCCAGCAACAGGCGGACAGCGAATCCTTCTTAATGCACTCGTTGGGCGCCGGCGTGGTGGATCCAGGCTGCGCCCAGGCCCTGATCGGCCTGGAGACAGTGGCGAAGCACATGGAGGAGACGGGCGAAGATATCGAGATCGTCGAAGACCATACGTAGGGTGGTCACGTTCGAGGGATTCAGCGGGGACGAGCAGCACTCCGCCAGCGTGTGCATCATCCCTTGGAAGATCGGGCATCACATAGAGAAGATCGAGGCGTACGTGGTGCTGGGCGCGGCGGGCTTCCCTCTGAGCAGGCCGCTCTTTTGGCGGCTCGCATTCAACCTGGATATGGAGAATGACGAGCTGGTGTTCCAGCGCCTCGGCGAGCGGGGCAAGCTGACAACGACCAAGGGCGGCCACTATGAAGTGCCGCTCGACGGATCGACGGCGAGGCCGCTGCACAATCAGGATTTTCAACAGTGCTGGGCGGCTGCCCTGAGGCCCGAGAACTGTACCATGGGTGAAGCGACGCGCTGATGGCGAAATTGGAGCTGGTCACAGGCTGGTGATCATGGAAATGCTTCCCCACCGAGGCTGCCAAAGTGGGCGTGCGACAACAGGTTCGTGGATGGTGGCGCCTACAACTTGAAGACCGGATGGGGCGCTCGCCAGCGCGAGAACGTGGAGCAGCTGTTTCACGACCTGGAGGCGAAGAACCCGCACGTGGTATCCTGCACCCCACCATTCGGGAAGCTATCACCGCTACAGGCGCTGACTACACAGGAGAAGCGGAAGGACCTGGAGAAGATCGAGGAGGAGGAGGAGGAGGAGGAGGTCTGGGAGGCAGTCTCATTCATCGTCCTATGCGTGGAGAAATCGACGTGGTAGATCATGCGTGGGAAGTTTTCTGTGGTTGAGCAATCCAATGGGAGATGAGCACGGGGCTTGGGAGAGATGATCAACTTCTTGACTGAGTTCGGGTCCTTCGTTGCGGAGGCGGCAGCATGCAGGTTCGGCAAGGGTGGTCTGGAGTCCAGCGTACCATTCAGCAAGACCTGGCGGTTCATGAAGAACATGGCGGAGGTGACCCAAAAGGTGGATCGCCAGTGCCGAGGAGGTCATGAATCATGAGCACCAGGAGGTGATCGGCAACGCTGGAGGCATGAAGCGCTTTTTAGCGGACGAGGCAAAGCAAAGTAACGGTCTCCACCCCAGGACGGTGGAAACCGTTACTTCTCGGGCCCCGCCCATGGACGAGCCGAAGCGCCTCGAACCACTCGGTTCCCCGCGCGCCCGCGCGTCCCCTTTGCCCAGGCGAGCCCTCTGCAGGCCGCGCGCGCGGCCCAGCGCCGCCTGCCTCCGCAGCCCGCTCCAGCCCGCCCGAGCGGCGGGCCGACGCCTCTGAACCCCCGGCCGGGAGAGCGCCAGACGGGAGCCCCGGCACGGCAGGCCACTCCTGCTCCGGGGCTGCGCCCCCGCGCTCCTCCTCCTCCTCCTCCTCCTCCTCCTCCTCCTCCTCCTCCTCCTCCTCCTCCTCCTCCTCCTCCTCCTCCTCCTCGGGCTCGCGCGTCCGCGGCGGGCGCGCCGCCGCAGGAGAGGGCGCGATCTCAGGGCCCTCGGGCAGGCAGCGGCGCACCTGGCCCGGCCAGCAAGGCGCTGTTGCAGCTCCGCCGACATGGCGGCACGCGTGCGCTGCAGCATCGGCCGCCAATCCGGGATCCCCCGGATCCCCCGGCGCCGCGCCGCCGCTGCCCGAGCGAGGCTCTGCAGCGTGTCCTGGGCCTTTACGTGGGCCCGCCCGCAGCTGCTCCGCACCACCGGACGGTAGACGCCGCCGTGCCGCCGCAGCTCTGCGGCGAACGGCGCGTATATTTGTCGCGCGTGCGGCGGGTCACCGCCGCGCAGCAGTCGAGCCTGGCGCCAGCGGCCTCTGGCGAACACACTCCAATGTCCAACGCTTCGAGGCTGCTGGTGGCAGCCGACGTCGTAAGGATGTCAGCTGGACGCAGCGATGGACGAGAGGGTATCAAACCTAAGTACAGGTTCGGGGGCAGCTTCGGGGTCGCCGAGGGCAGCCAGCAAATGCACGCGGTGGCACATGCGGGTAGTGGCCCGGCGCAAGTCTGCGGGTGGATGGATGCCGCGCTGGTCCAGGGCCTCCGCACAGGTGACACTCCGCGCCGTCAGGCAGGAAGGGCATCCAGAGGCGGAGCAGCAGAGAGTCGGCGTAGGCATCGGCACTAAGTACCATGCCATGCGCCGGGCGAAAGCAATTCATCCACGAGTGGTCGGTGGACGGATCCCTCAACTCCGCGATACGGCGGAGCCCTGACCAATCGGCCTCTGCCCGGAGAGTCGCGTCAAGCATCTCGAGTCGCGTCTCCTCGAGCACGAGGGACGGCACGCCCTGGAGGCGGAAGCTGTCGGCCGCCTCAGGGTCACATTGACACATTGGCCAAGGCGCACGTGTGTGGTATAGCGTAGGTTCAGGGCGGCATCAGCTACAGAGGCCGTCGGCGTGGACGACCAGGACCAGGAGGACCCGGAGGACCCGGCCATCGGTCGAGGCGCGAAGGAGCGCCTCATCAGAGATGCCCTGTACCATGGGCGTCCGTACAGCATCGAGGCCTGCCTTCGTCGTCTGCGCATTAACCTTGGCCACGCCCCAGTCTCGACCATGATGTGGCACCTTCGTTCTGCCAGTGCCACCAAGGACGCCCTCGAGATGGTGGCGGAATTCCGATGCGACGCGTACGACGCCAAGATGGACCCGAAGCCGGTACGCTCAGTTGCTCCAGACATTGCCCAGCCGCCCTTGCGCTCCGCTCCATCGGCATGCATGTGAAGGAGTTGCTGGGGTGGCTGCCCAACCAGACGGTCAAAGCGCTCAACATCCTATGCGACACCTCGTCGCTCCAGTCCATGACGCCGTTCGACGAGGACGACGAGGAGGTGGCCGTGGATCTGCTGCGTCTGCATCGGGACAACTGGACGCGACCCTGCATGCGCCCCAAACGGTTGCGCCTCGACCCGGCGAAGCATCACGTCTCGCAGAACTTCTCCAGCCCGATGGAGCGAGATGGCACGACAAGTTTGAGCAGCGCCGGTGGCGCTGAGGATCAGAATGGGAGGGTGCAGCGTCACGGGCCGTGGTTCGCCCAGATGCTGCGGGCCGCCGTGGCCGAGGTCCAGCAGCCAGGGGGAGTGGCGTGAGTGCGTGGCCCAGATGGAGGAGGCCAAGAAGAGCTCTCTCCTCCGCGTCGGCGGCGCGAGCCCCGCGCAGATGCTGCTTTATTCCCTCGGCATCGTGGCCAGCAGCTCGGTCCTAAGCGATCCTGCCGCTGTCTTCGCCGCTCGGGTCGGAGCCATGGCATGGCGACAGGTCTTGAGCTATCACGACAAGCAGGCGACGCGCCTGGCCCTGGACGCACGACCTCGTCGGCATGTGCCGTACAAGCCTGGGGACATGGAGGCCGCGTGGAGGAAGGTGACGAAGGGCGGCGGAGGTCACCTCCGCCGCCCTTCGTCACCTTCCTCCACGCGGCCGAAATGTCGGAATCGGAATCGCGAATCGGAATCCCGGAATCGAGTCGGTTCGAAATCAGAATCGCGGAAATCGATTCGAATCGAACCGGCGGAATCGGAATGACCCCTGGAGGTGCGCCGCCCAGCCGCTGGGCCCACTACCGCTGGCGGCCTGGTGTGTGCAGGGGCGCCGCTCGCGGGAACTGCTGGATCGCGGTGCTGGGCAGCCTCGTCAGGGCGTCGCCCGAGCACCTGAGGCCGGCCTACGCGGAGGAGCGGGCGGCCTGGCGCCTGGCGGAGGCATCACTGCGCACGCACACCATTCACCTGGACAACATGGAGGCGCAGCATACTACCACGACAGCACCAGCGAGGTACGCGCAGCGGGGGCAGAGAAGGATGAGGTGCCCGTCGAGGAGGAAGCTGAGGGCCCAGGCGTCATTGCGCCGGTCGATCCGCCCGAGGACTCGGGAGTCCAGGAGGGGACGAGCCTAGAGGAGAACGAGGAGGCGCCACCCGTGGAGGAGGTCCCCGTTCTGGAGGACCAGCCTGGCGACGTCCCAGATGACGAGGAGACTGCGACCGAACACGACGGCGGCATAGACGAGCTCCGAGACAGGCATAACGTGGCTGCTACCTGGAAGCGGCCGAGGGTCGAGACGTCCATCGAGGAGGTGAAGGCGCCCAGGGTCGCGGCAGCTGCCTCGCCAGGATCCAAGCACGCTGCGTCCGCCCACGAGCCCCAGGGCGCCAAGCAACCCTGGGTCCAGTCCGTCCTGGTCGTGACGGCAGCGGAGGACAGCGACGACGACGAGGGGATCTCGGTGGTGGTGGATGCTGGCCCGTGGCAGGGAGGAGCTGGACCAGAAAGGATCCGAGTACGACAAGTTGATCACCCAGACCAAGGCTTGGCGCCCGCTGTCTCTCGAGGAGTCCAGGACGTCGCACGGCCCAGCCAGACCGCATCACGAAGCCGCGGCCAGTCCGAACGGAGAAGGAGAGGGAGGTTGGAAGGGAGGTGGTCAAGCCCAGGATAACCACTCAGGGGCTCAAGGATCCCGACCTGCTGGAGCTGGTGAAGGCTGGGCGTACTCAGGCACCGACGCTCTCGTCCAACGGCCGGGATGTTCGTGCTCCAGACGATCGCCTCGGCCAAGTCCCCGCTGGCCGTCGGTGACGTCGAGGGCGCCTTCCTGGAGACTGACGCGTCGCCGGATCCTGCAGAGCGCGGGACGTTCTGCGTTTCACTGCCATCGGAGTTCCTGCCAGAAGGGATGCACGAGGATCAGCTGTGCGAGGTGACTAATCGGTACGGTCGCAGTCACCAGCCCTAGAGCTGTGGTTGTTGGCATTCCGCGATGTTCCTCGTGGAGGAGCTGGGGTTCGTGCAGCACCCCACGGACACGTTCGTGCTGATGCTTTTCGAGGACATCGGGACCACGCGGACTTCGACGTGTGCGACTGCTGCGTGCTCGAGGGCAGCGGCCAGGATACCGGGTGCGCGGCCCGGTCGCGCGACCAATGCACGTGGATGACGGCGTGCCATCGGCCAGCACGTGGACGACGGCGTCTCCAGGTGCCGCGGGGCCAAGTGGTTCCAGGCTGTAGCTCACCTTCGCCGCCGATTGCCCTGCCGCAAGTGGCACGAGGGGGAGGGCGAATTCGTGGGCTCACAGCTGCAGCAGCTCGAGGACTACACGATCGTCCGGTCGCAGTACCAACACGCAGCGGAAGAGATGGAAGGGGTCCCGACCCAGCGACGTGCTACAACAGATGCTGTGGCGATTCCGTCCGAGATAACAGATTTCATCTACCTCAGCAGGCGCGGGAACTGGCTGGCCGCCCAGACTCGTCCCGATCTCAGTGTCCCCGTGAGCTCCAGCCAGCAAAACATACCCCAACCATCGACAGGAGACGTTCGTAAGGGAACCGTGTTGGCTCGACGGGCCCAGCAGTTCGCTGATCTCGAAATCCGATGCCCCTCGATCCCCAACCACGAGTTCACATTCCTCTTCCACTCAAACTACGCCTCCGAGGAAATGTCGAACATGTGCACACCCAGGGGGGCTACATCGTCGGAGTGACGAACAGGAACATGGAAACATGTAGGCTTTCCCCGTGGAGCCCAACATTATAGAGGAGTTATCACGTTTGTAGGGCTGTGATGTCTACGCTGGCGGGGGGGGTCCCCGGTGATGACCCACTGGCTCGGGCACCTCGAGTGGGTCAAGTGCTTCTTCGCTATGGGAGGATTCCTACGTTTCGCTCTCGGGGAGAGGGCCCACGACCTGGAAAAATTCCAGAGCTTCGCGGCCATGGACTGTAAGAAGATCTACGGCAACGTATGTAAGATGGAGAGCCCGTCTGGTATCGATGATAAGAGGTGTGCAATAGATATCGCGATCAACAAAACAATTGCCCGTCTCGGGGCCGTGCTGAAATGGGCCTCCACGTCACTCATTCTCGCGAACTGCTTCACTACAGAGCGGAACCAGTAGACCTCCTTCGACGTTGCATGTGTCACGGTACCTACCAGCTTGCTGACGAGAGCAGCGTTCTGGCCCAAGCCGCGGCCGCACGTGCGCTACGGAAGCAGTTTGCCGCCCCACAACCGCCGCCAAGGTGTTCGCCAGATGGTCAAGGTCGAGGCCGAGAATCCGTCGAGGGCAGTGAGGAGTTCCCTGGATGGTATCGCACAGGCAGAAGATGGCAAGAGCGAGGGTTCGAGCAGTCGGGTCAAGGTCCAAATCCGCGCCGATGTCCTGGACGACCGTCTGATAGGCAAGGAGGGCAGGGCACAAGTCATGCTGTTGTACCATGCCAGCTCGGCCAGCACCACGATGAAAAACCCGGCGGCTGTCGAATGGCGCTGAAGACAGAGCAGGGGCCGCCAGCACTTGAGGGAGCGTCCACCGTGGTGAACTCGTTCCGCCTCCCGGCCTGGGACCAGTTCACAGCCGACAGGGAGGTCTCGCAAGTGCTGGGCAGCGAGGCTGGCCAGCGATCGGCAACTCAGGGTAGCCCCAGTCGTCCATCCCGCACGCTTCGCCTTCCCAGGGAGTCGGAGTTCCACGGCGGGGTCAGGGACATCGGCCTCTGCGTCTGCGTCAGCTTAGCGGACTTCCCGTGGTGGCGCGACGAGGTTCTGGGGTTCCTCGTGGAGGAGTGCGGTCTGCAGCGAGAGATGCTGGCCGAGGAGAACCCCGAGACCTGGCAGGAGCTATTCGATAGGGCGCCGATCATCGCCACCGGCGAGGGTCCAGCGCAGGACGACGGCGGCAGGTTCACGGAGAGCTGGCATGCCCCCTCGTCGAGGGCCACGACGCGTCGTTGGATGTGGCAGGATAGCGCCATCAGGCGCTCTGTGACCCGAAAGAATGTTCCCGTTCCTGCTTTTCGCTGGCGTGCGAGTAGAGGCCAGCGGCTATCGCCATTCTGTCTGCCGCTGTAAAGTACAAAGCTGGACTTGAGGCAGCTGTAGATTTCGAGACTGTGGATTTGATGTTGAGTCTGCGTGCGCTGCCTCACTGCATTGCCACATGCTGGAGGGTGCGCTAGGGGCACACAAAGCAAAACGAGCAAGCCTCTCCCTCTTCCAGGCCAGGAGGGCCCTCCAGGGAAAGGGCATTGACAAGAGGGGCGGGAGGGACAGGATGTCAAATGAGGCGCGAGCGAACCTTGCATATCTGTTTTTTTGTTGTTCTCTCTCTCTCTCTCTATTTCTCTCTCTCTCTCTCTCTCTTTGTGCATTCCTCTCTCTCTCTCTCTCCTTTCTCATTCTCTGTCTCCCTCTCCTCCCTTCCTCCTTCCTCCCTAGAAAGGCCCTGGGGCACCCGAGTGGGCCCCAACCCCCGTCACCAAGGGGAACCCCCAGGCGCTGGGATTATGGTCCTGGGTCCCTAGCCACAAAAACGCCACCTCTCGGGAACAGCCTTCCTCCTTCCTCTCTCGCTCTTTGTCTCTCTCTCTCTCTCTCGCTCTCTCTCTCTCTCTCTCTCTCTCTCATTTTGTATATATGTATCTCTCTCTCTCTCTCTGGAACTCATGTCCATCTCCCGCTGCAGACCCCGTTGCTCCATCTCCGTCCCCCTCTGCTCAGCATCGTACCACCGCGAGGAAGGCAAACAGGAGGAAGAGGGGCATTGTCCATGCGTTTCCTCCCGCGCCCTGCCCCCTGGCAAAGTTCCACAAAATTCGTCCTGTGGCCAACACAGCAGGATCTGATGAGATCGCCGCCAACACTCGCGTCGGGAAGACGACCAGCGCCGTGCATCCTGCGGATGTCACCCACACTGCCGGTGCCACTGACACTTACAAGCGTATCTGCACGTGCTCCGTCCGTCGCCAGGCAAAGGAAGGAGAGGGCTCACGAGGACGGGAAGCAGCATGAGCTGGAGAGGCGGAGACAAAAAGACAGACAGACAGACTGGCAGGCAGGCAGGCAGGCAGGCAGGCAGACAGACAGAGTGACTGACTGACTGACTGACTGACTGATGGGCCCCACGTTGCCTGTCCGCCGACAAGCCGCGCCTCACGGGCACGCCCCAGCCGTGTGTGAGGAATAAGGCCATGGCACGGGGAGCTGGGCGCAGTCCAAGCCAGCGCAAGCAGTGAATCGGCCCAGCTGTACTACCTGGGGCCCTGGGAGGATTGCACCGGTGCGATCGCGGGGGCTTCGGAGGCCGCATGTGCCGCTCGTGGGCAAACGCGCGCGCCGGGCACGCTAGAGGGAGACAAGGGGAGGAACCGGTCACCCTTGAACTGGCCATCCTGGCTCAGATACGTCTACATGCAAGCACACCATGTAAAATCGTCAAGACAACTGCGGAAGAACAAAAATCGTCACTGACAGACCCCTCCCTAAGGGCCCTTAGGGGGGAGTTCCAGGAAACGCATTTTCAAGGCTTCCAGGGGCACAGTCCTTTCAGTGAGACCTTGCTGCAACAGGAGCGGTCCCCTAAGCCCCTCTGACACTCGTGGGAAAGGTGGCAACCATAACATGTGATGGGAACAGCGTAGTCTAGGAGAGCGTTGACGACACGAGCCGTCTCACCGCCCCTCCGGCGCACACAAGAAACTGCGCATGGGCTCACGGCACGAACAGCTCACAGCGCTTCTGCATCAACGCGGCCGCACCATACGCCGACAACTCCAGCTGCGCATTGCCAGCCTGAAGGAAAAAAACACAGGTCGCGCCACGCGGCCGCCGCGGACCTGCCTGAGGGACAGACAGACAGATAGACAGGCAGGCAGACAGACAGACATACAGACAGAGAGAACAACAAAGAGAGAGAGAGAGAGAGAGAAATAAAGAGAGAGAGAGAGAGAGAGACGGAGACGGAGAAGGGAACACAATGAACCCGAAGTCCGACCGCGCATTTGTTCGCGACGGGGGGGCTAAAGCTCTCGAACCCATTCCTCAGACTGCTGCAATTCGATGCGGGGTGTTCTTCACGATGGCCCTCAGTCGCTCGAGGGGACGGCCACTGAGGAACTCCAGGGGGCGAGACGACCCCCCCTCGCGACGTTCTATGCGAGCGGCCCATGTCTGGGCCCCTCCCCACTCGAAGCGTGCCCCGCCTCCTCTCTTCCCGCCTCCTCCTCCTCCTCCTCCTCCTCCTCCTCCTCCTCCTCGGTCGGTCGGTCGGTCGGTCGGCTGGCTGCAGGTGCGTAGCCTGTACAAGGATGGAGCAGAGCATAGAGAAAAGCAGGACACGGTGAGACACATGCAGGTGCAGAGGAAGAAGGGGGGGGGCATAAGACCCGCAACCCGAACACCACCTCCGCGCACCCTTAAGGGGGCGTCCCTCTGTGCCTAGCGTCCCTGTAAACCACGCAGTCGTTGGCCATGGCATAAGTCAGGTCGTGAAGGGGTCGAGGGGGATGAAGAAATCCGCAGCCCAATCATGGAGCAACCAATCGACCGATGAGCCATGGACAAAAGGAAACACATGATGGACATCAGAGAGCATGGCAGAGGCGAGCAAGCGACACAATTGCGCGGGATATACCTTAGCCTGAGCAGTCGTCCACTGCTTCCTCTCTGCAAGGCCCCTAAGGCTTACATGCGCGCATCCTCCGCACCTACCCCTCCTCGGTCGGCACTCCGTGAGACCACGCAAAGCGGGACAAGGGACAGAGAGGAATAGAGTAGGCTTCAGCGCACAGCTGCCGACGCGACATTGGTCGATGTCCACAACTCGCACTCTTTGCAACCTCTCAAGGGAAGTCTCCTCATCCTCCTCCTCCTCCCCTCTTCATCCTCCTCCTCCTCTTCCTCCTCCTCCTCCACCTCCTCCTCCTCCTCCCTTTCCCTCTCCCTCGTCCTCCTCCTCCTCCTCCTCCTCCTCCTTGTCCTCCTCATCCTGCTCCTGCTGCTCCTTCTCCTCCTCCTCCACCTCATCGTCCTCTACCTCGTCTTCCTCCTCCTTCTCCTCCTCCTCCTCCTCCTCCCCTCCTCCTTCTCCTCCTCCTCCTCCTCTTCCTCCTCCTCCTCCTCCTCCTCCTCCTCCTCCTGGCACCTGTGTCACTGGGCGCCCTTCCCAGGAAAACAAACGGGTTGCAGCCCGGTCGTCACCCCTGTTTGCCCGTGGGGCGAAGGTGAGAGAACATTGCCCCTCGTCGCAACGTTTTCCCACCCCTTGCGGTGGTGCGGAACGTACACATAGCGCGCCTGGGCGGGTGGGGGGTCCCCTGCGGGGGGCTCATGGTGGATCCACGCCCATCCTTCCCACGGCCAGGACCCCGCGCCCTGGCGTGCGTGGGGGCGCGCGGTTTCCCGCGGGAGCGGCGCCCCTTCGGTGGCTGATCGGAGCGACGCGCCGAAGGGCGTGCCGCTATCTGAGGGCAGCGTGCCTGCCGCCTCGGAAGCGTCAGAAAGCGCGGCGCGCCACGGCGCCCGTTGCCTGGTCCGCTCTTGCTGGTGTGGCTAGTAAGGAGTGAACATGTTGATGGTGTTGGGACTCCTTTGGCGGTAACACGTTTTCTCGTGTTCCGCAATCTTCTTGGTTGGCTCCACGGGTGGGCCCCCTGCCACTCGCAGCCGCGGTGCTCGTCGAGTTCAGGAGGTATCGTGCGTATCGACACGTGATGGCGGAAAACCTGGAATCCTCCTTCTCTCCTCCTCAACCGCCCCCTCCTTCTCTACCTCCTCCTCTGTCCTCCTCCTCCTCCTCCTCGTTCTCCTCCTCCGCTTCCTCTTCCCCCTGCTCCTCCTCCACCTCCTCCTCCTCCTCCTCCTCCTCCTCCTCTTCCTCCTCCTCCTCCTCCTCCTCTCCTCAGCCTCCTCCGCCTCCTCCGCCTCTCCTCCTCGTCCTCCTCCTCCTCTTTCTCCTCCTCTTTCTCCTCCTCTTTCTCCTCCTCTTTCTCCTCCTCCTCCTCCTCCTCCTCCTCCTCCTCCTCCTCCTCCTCCTCTTACATCGTACCTGGCTGCCGAGGAGGGTCCATTGACGGCCTCCGAAAAAGGGAAGGAAAAACCGCAGTGCCGCCTCCATCGAAGGAGAACATTGGCATTTACTGGCAAGGTTTCCATCCCCCCTGCCAGCAGCCCGACAGGAGGCGACCCTAAGGACGATCACGCAGGTCAAGCCTTGAGATCTGGGAGGGCTTCCCCGCTGAAAGACGTGTGACCACTCTCTTGCCATGGGCAGTGAGGCCTGGAGCACACTGCTTGCATAGCTGAAAAGAGCTTGCCTCTTACTGGGACCTCCGTTCCTCCACGAGCCTGGGAAGGAAGGAGTCCGGCCGATGGGAAGCATGAGCCGACGCGGGGACCCCTGGGCAGCTCGAAATAAGGAACGGCTTTGAGTCATGAGACTCCTTGCCGAGACAAGCCTGACCCTTCCACACGCCCAAGGAGGATCGTTCCACTCGGTGCTGCGTGACAGCCATGAATTGCTCAAGCCTTTCCGCGCGGGCCTGGTGAGACTGTGCAGCGCGCAAGTTAGGTTATTCCTTGTGGTTCCCGCTGGCGGGGGCCCCAGATAAGGTTGGGACCTGCTTAACCGAAGACAAGGACATCTCCAGGGGCGAATCGATCACCGCGACTTCAGATTATCCTTCTGGACTATCTGACGACGGCTGCCAAACGGGATCTGGGCCATCCTAGCAGCTTCGCCTGCCGCGCGGTCGGCCAGGCGATTAACCTGCCAGTGGGCCTCCTCGTATCCTAGGGCCCTGGCATCCTCGAGGCTGAGATGAGGGCGAATGTGCCGCGCCTGGATCGGACGATCACCTGCTGCTCTCCAGATACCTCTCCAGAGGAAAACCAGCGACGTGTGCTAAGCCTCGGGCCCGCTCGGATTCCGCTGGCAACCCCTTCATTATCAATGACAGAAGAAATGGACCATGCAGTGAACTGGGCAGCTCTCAGGGTGGCAAAAAATTCTGCTGCTGGAACTGATTGGTGGTCGATTGGCAGGGGTCCTAAGGCCCAGCGAACGTGCCCTCGCTGGTCCGCACGGGGAATCGCAAAACCCCAAACGCACCCACCAAGCCTAGGACCAGCCGAACCCTTCCCCCCAACCCATCCAAGCCAATCGCGCACCCCCCGTCTAGAACTAGCCGTCATGCTTGCAACTGCGGGCTGAGCCTCTCGAGCCCTTGGGCAGGGGCTCCACGGAGGGAATGGGCCCAGGCCAAGGGCGGCGAGCCTCTAAGCCAGAAGCTGGGCGCCTCTCGGCTACCATCTACTGCCTGCTGAACTAAAGCCTTTCTTAAGATCCGAAATATGGCGATTGGCAGGGCAAATTCACAGCTGGTGGAGGAGCGTCTCTTCGAGGGGCCACGCCTTGGGCGAGAGGGGGGCCCCCGCGGGGGGGCTGGGCGCAGGGGGGGCTCCATGCCACACAAGCCGCATAAGACATCGTCCTCCTCCTGCCCCTCAGCCGCGCGCATCCTTTGATCGATCGCGGAGCCGAAGTCGTCTCCCAACCCCTGCGCCTGCGAGCCAGCAGAGCGTTCGCTCGGGCGGAAAAGGCGTCGGGCTCCCACTCCAAACCGGCGGGGGGCTGGCCAGAGGGCTCCACAGTAACTAATTTCCAGAACAGCTGCCTGGCCATTGGCTCCCGCGGCCTTCTTTTTGTTGAGCTTCAGCAGAGCAATATACATGTCAGCGCGGTCTCGAAGGCCACTGCCGTGACAGTGTTCGCTGGCCCCCCTCCAGGCTGCTCGATCAAAAGCTTCGAGGAAGGCGGCAATTGCTCGGGATCACAAGAATGAAAATTAAAACTTCCCACAAAGGGCCACCCAGCTGCCCGGCCGATAGGGGGGCCATTCTGACTCGAGAGACGACGCGGCCACTGCTGCGACAAAACCATTCACCCGCTTCCAGCGGTTGGCCGCGTCTCCCAGCCTGTCCCGAGCCTGACCCCGAGCCACGGAGTCCGTGCTCATTGGTCTGCAGGAGTTCTGGCAAGAGGTGCGCCCATTCTCTGGGGACTCGCACGCGGGTTGAAACCAGCGGGCCACGACGGGGGACCTGGAAAGCACACCGAAGCACAATGGCGGCACAACCTCTTTCCCGTCTCCCCACCATGCCCGCTATTGCTGAGCGGGCTCTGAGGGCCATGGTGGGACTAACCCCTTGTGCCCCGCGTCCCCAGAGAGCCCGGGGCTGCCGCCCCGTGCGAACTAGCCCCTTAGCTCGCCTATCCGATTTGACAACGCGCTTGACCTTGCATGCCCGTTGCGCTGATTTGGCGAAGTGCTGCAGCACTGCTACTGAGCCAGCCTTGTCTACTGCGCCTATGCCGAGGTCCTTACCCGTCGTGCCGCCTCGAAGGATGTGGCCAGCCGAAGCGAGAGCAGACCGCACCCGGGAGGCGAGAGGGCCCTCGGCTTGGCAAGGGCCTGGCGTTTACTGGAAATGGTGAACCCGGAAGACTTGGGCACATGTGCGAGGCCAGAGCTGGCTTCTGCTGCCTGCTTCACTATGATATCCCCACGACCTGCATGCCTTTGGCTGAACTCATTCGCCCAGGATGCCAGAGCCACGGGTCGGTCGGCCGCGCGGGCTACATCCAGGATACCCCAGAGAGCCACCTTGGCGACGTCAACGCTTCGGGGTCAGCCCGCAAGCAGACTCCCACCTGGCATGGCGCCTGCCGCCCTGCGCCTCCGTGGCGCTCTACGCATGTCCAGAGCTAGAAACAGAGGCATCAGGGGGCACTCAACTCGCTGGGCGATACCCACGGTCACATCGAACTGAACACGATCATAAGAGTTCCCCACGCCCCAAAGAATCTGGACCCAGCTGATTCCCACGGCCGAAGCCACCTCACACTGGGTCCGCCGCAGGAGGGCCGCTCGCAGGGCAGAGAGAGGTCTCGGACAGCTCTATCCCGGAACTGCGCGCGAGTGGAGGACCAGTTTGAAATGGTACACCTGCGCGCCCTGCCCCAGGCCCTGCAGAAACCTCGCGTTAAAGTAGTCGGGCGATCTGCGACTGCACTCTCAAAGAAAAGCTGGATTACTACCAGACGGAGCTGCGGTGGCCAGGTTAATTCAAATTCACGTTCCTCTGAGATCTGCTGGAGCTCCTGATGGGCCTCAGGGGACAGCTTGAGCCAGTCCCGAGGATTCTGGAAGTCTGCACCTTGGCCTACCGAGGCCTTCATGCACTTGACGGCTTCTCCACATCTTCAACTGGAAGCGGGTCCCGCTCTGACTGGTCTAATTTTGCCTGTCTGCGGAAATGCCCCCACCAGGTCGGGGAATGTTCCTGCGATCCAGCTTGCCACAAATCCGCCCACCTCCAAACATTCACCCCCGGGGCCTCTCCTGGATCGACAACTGTTTCACCTGGCGCGCCGAGCCCGCCGCTGAGCTCGGGGGGGTATGGACCCCGCGTCCTGGCGCGAAAGTGAAGAGCTCCGCCCCCTCTCGAAGTAGTGTCGCCATGCATCCATTGTTTGAAACTCTTGGCGGGGGCACTTGAGAAATGCGCTTCACGAGACCGCGGACGGAGCGAAGGCTCGCGAAGACTGGCCCCCAGGCCCTTCCCCGAGGCAGCTGGCCCCAGGGGCCGCGAAACCTCGAGCGCCGTTTCCCCTCGTCTCTCGGGGAGCAGGCGCGGCCTCTGGAAAACGCGGCTGCGGGCCGCTGAGGAGGGCTCTGAGGCGGGATGGGCGGGTCGCCCTTTTTGTTCAGCAGGGGCGACGAGGGCTCTCCATGCAGGACGCACAGAGGTGCCAGGATCTCCCCGACCACCGGCCCCCCGAAATCCTCCGACCCACCGAGGATCCAGCCGGGGCGGCGAGGGACGAGAGTGGGAGCGCACGCGCACACGCACGCACGCTTGTACGCAAGCAGCGTCGTCGACCCACTACCCGTCCTCTTCTGCCTCCTCCTGCACGGCAGCCGCCACGCCCAACTAGTCCTTCACGTCCCCCCCGAAGCCCTTGACGATGTCCCTGCCCACCTCAGCTGCGTCGGCGATCTTCACCTCCTGCACTTCCTCGTCCGAAAGCAGCGGGTCACTGAGGGGGGTGTCTGGGGCCCGTCGTGCCGCCCACGACGTTGCGGCCAGTGTACGTCCTGCTGCTCGTGGTCGTGCTGCCGGAATCCGTCGTCCTGCTCACGATGGTGCTGCTGGCACCCGTCCTGCTGCTCACGGTTGTGCTGGGTTCCGAATTCCGGCAGTGGCGACGAAGGCTCTCCAGGACGAGCAGCGGTCGCAAAACCCGCCCCTCCACTGACGCCCCGGAAAGCTGGCCGTCGCAGTGGGGACCCAAGATAGAGCGTCCGATCGCTCCAGGCGGAGTCGGTCAACCCGTCCTTCTGGACCTCCGCTTCCTCGTGGACCTCCTCGAAGGCCTCCTTGACAACGCTCTCCGCGGCGCCCGCCGCGTGATGGCCCAACCCGTTAGGGGTGGTCAACGGGGCGGCAGCAAGCGGCCTCACGGCCAGCGAAGTGTCGGCAGCCAGAGAGGCGGCGCGCGCCAGCGCGGCCGCCGCCGACCAGAGGGCCGCACGGGCAGAAGCAGCGGCGGCCACGGCGCAGGCGCCGGCCGCAGCGACCGCCTCGGCTGACCGCGGCGGCGGCGCCAGCGGCGGCACCACTCGGACAGCCGGGCGCGGCCGCGGCAGCGCCGAGGGCGACCGCGGCGGCGGCGGCAGCGGCAGCGCGGGACGCCGCAGCAGGGACAGCGCCAGGCACGGAAGCCGCCGTGGCGAGGGGCCCGAGCAGCAAGCCGGGCGGCGGCGCCGCAGCGCAGGCCCGGGCGGCAGCAGCGCGCCGTTGCCGCCGCCGCCGCGCCGCGCGGGACTCCATCTGGCCCCAGCCCCCGGTGGCGGCGGACCCAGGTCGCGCCGACCAACCTCGAGCCAGAGCGGCTTGAACCAAAAGGGACTGAGCCAGAGGATACCGAAAGCGCGGCACACGTACGCCTAAACAATCTGCAAGAGCTTGATCGATGGAGGGCGGCTCCTGCTCAAAATGTTGCTCGCGCAGATCGCATTCGTCGCAAAAGATTGCAACAACTTCGCGGATGTATAGGGGTGTTCCTTTTCAATATGTGGCTCTCGCCTCAGCGCCGCGCACATTCGTCTTGAAAGTGTGCAATCGTTTCACGGATGGAGGGCGGTTCCTTTTCAACATGCTCGCGCATGAGCGCCGCGCACGTTCGTCTTAAAAAATTGCATGAGTTTCACGGGTGCAGGGCGGGTGTTTGTCAAAGGTGGCTCTCTCCGTAGCGCCGCGCACATTCGTCGCAAAAGCTTGCAAGGCGGGTGGTTCCTTTTCAAAATATGGTTCTCGCCCTAGCGCCGCACATTCGTCTAAGGCGGGCGGCTCATTTCAAAATGTGGCGCTCGCCGCTGCGCTGCGCGCACTCGTGTCTTAAAAGTCTGCGAAAGCTTTACGCATAGAGGGCGGTTCCATTTAAACCTGTGACTCTCGCCCCAGCGCCCCGCACATTCGTCTTAAAACTTCGCGAGAGCTTCACGGATGGAGGGCGGCTCCTCTTCAAAATGCGGCTCTCCACTAAGCGTGGCGCACATTCCTCTGAAAAGTTTGCAGCAGCTTCACGGATGGAGGGTGGCCCCTTTTCAAAATGTGGCTCTCGTCACTGCGTCGCGCAGATTCGTCTCAAAGGGTGCAACAACTTCGCGGATTCCGATGGTTGACATTAACTGGAAATTGTGTTCCGGCGGCACGAAAGCGCATTGTCCGGGCGCGCAAGTCCCGTTGACCTGCAGTATTGAAGTCCCAGGAGTGGTGTTCAGGCACGACGCGTGACCCTCAGGACGCTAAAATTGATTTGCGGCGTTGAAGTCGAAAGAGCTGAAAGCTGGCACAACTGAAGGTTCTCAAATGGTTATCTTCCAACCGGGCACTTCCAGCAGTGAAGATCAATTCATGCAGGGACCGATGAGGAAACCTGGAGAGAAGGCGTATTGCAAAATCATTGATGCATCTTGAGCATACACTGGTCCTCCTCCTCTTCCTCCTCCTCATCCTCCATCTCCTCCTCTTCCTCCTCAGACTTCTCCTCCTCCTCCTCCTCCTCCTCCTCCTCCTCCTCCTCCCCCTCCAGTCATTCGTAATTGCCCTCTCCTCCTCGTCCTCCTCCTCCCCCCGTCAATCGTCCCCCTCCCCTCCAGCCCCCCGCTCCCCCCTTGGGGGCTGCCCTTCCCGCGAACCCCAGCGCCCCCGCGGATCGCAGGGGCCGTCCTATGAGGCCGATGGCCCCCGCGAACGCCAGGGCCTCCGCGCGGAGCACGGCGCCGCGAGGCGCTGGCGGGGGCCGGTCAGTAGGCTCCTCGCCATGTTCCCACATCCTGCCTCCCTCCTCCCACAGCGTCATGCTCCTTCCTCTCCATACTGCTCCCTCCCTCCATCGTGTCCTCCTCCCAGTCTTCATCCTCATCCTTCTCATCCTCTATCCTCCCTCTCCTCCTCCCTCCTTTTCCTCCTCCTCTCTTCTTTCAAGATGTCTCCACCCTGTCGCGCCCCAAGCCGAGTCCGTAAGACGGGCAGGGCGTTTCGCCAAAGACTCCCTCCCCACTTATGACCCTGAAGCTTGACTTGTGCAACAGCTTCGCGGATGGAGGGTGGACCGGCTTGAAAATGGCTCTCGCCTGAGCGCAGCGCAAATTCTTCCAGCTTCAAGGACGGCTGGTGTTGTGGCTCTCTTCTAAGCACCGCGCACATTCGTCTTCAAGGCTGACAACAGCTTCACAAATGGAGGGCAGGCGGTTTTCAAAATGTGGCTCTCGCCTCAGCGCTGGGCACATTCGTCTAAAAGTTTGCAACAGCTTCACGGATGGAGGGCGGCCCCTTTTCAAAATGTGGTTCTAGCCGTCGCGCCGCGCATATTTATCTTAAAAGTGTGCAAGAGTTGCACGGAGTCTTATGTAGCTGTCGTGCTGCGAATGCTGGTCAGGCACGTTCGGGATTGCAGGACGCAAAAGCCACTTTGATTAGAGGTGCTGAGGTGCCAGGAGTGGTGTTCAGGCACGCTTTAGGATTGTCATGGCGCAACAGTCTCGTTGATCCGCGGCAAGGATGTCCTAAGAACGGCGTAGCGTACTGGCACGAGTGAGGATTCTCAAATGGCGTCTTTCACCGGGCAATCCCGTAATGAAAAGATGTTGCCGCGCAATTTGTTCCGAGCGCGCCCAAAATGACGACGCCGACACCACGGCAACCCCACAGATGGCCCTGCGCGCAGCGCCCAAGCAGACGACGCCGGCACCGTGGCAAACCCACGGCAAACCCACCGTGCCCGAGGCGGCGCTGGCCCTGGTGCCCGCGGCGCCACCCACAAGGCTGAAGGCCGCGCGTCGGATCAAACGGCGCGACGACATTTATTGTTGTAGGGACCTAGGATGCGGGAACTTGGAGGGAGGGTTTATGCAACATCATCGAAGCGTCTTGGGTTTGCACGGGTCCTCCTCCTCCTCCTCCTCCTACTCCTCCTCCTCGGCTCGGCGGCCTCAACCTGGCATCAAGCCGCAGCCTCTTGATCGAGATGCGTGTGGATTTGAGACTCGCCGTTGGCAACACGTACTTCGATGCCCCCGCAGATAGACAGAGTAATTGTTACAGTGTGGGCTGTCATCCGTCTGACCCTCCCGTGCCGGGCAACTTTGGCCAGATTGATTTTGTCCTCATGCCCGCCGCTTGGATGCATCAGCTTCGCCATGTTCACAGTGACCGCTCGCGAGCCCTGGCTTCCCATCATCTTCTCGTGTTGGCAGATCTGGAGATCGACGTCCCCCGGAGCCCAAGAAACGGCGCCCTCGTCAGCTTGACCTCAAAACACTGATGGGCCCGACAGGCGATAGATTCGCACGGGCGTTCGACGCGGCGATGCTCTCGGAGACCGAAAGAGGCGACCTGGTGACCACTACTGACCTCGAGGAGGCCATGACTCGATCTTGCCATTCTGCCGCCGGCGATTGCATTCCCCGCCTGCAGCTCTCGCCAAGGCGCCCTTGGATCTCTGGGCAGACGCTGTCCCTGATCCAGCGGAGAACTGAAGCGAGGCAAAGCGGGGGGGTCGATCAGGAGAGACGGCTGCAAGCAGAGGCGAAACGCTCCGTCCGCAACGACAGGTCAGCGTGGCTCGACACCCCTGGCCACTGGGCAGTGGGACCAGCTGAAGGGCCCCCGGCAGAGCTTTGCTCCGAAACAGGGACGGCTGAGGGGAAGGGATGGAGAGCTTGTGGACTCCGACCGCCGTGCAGAGACATTGGCCGAGTATTTGAACAAGGTGCAGTGGGCCACCCGCGCCACAACGCCTATGTACAACGAGGCCCTTGGCGACGAGCTGAACGTCGGCGACGCCCCCATCAGCAGCGAAGAAGTGGCAGCGGCCGCCAACGCATGCGCTGGGGCAAGGCTTGCGGCGCTGACGGGGTGCCCGGCGATTTCTGGAAAGCTGTGTGCAGGGCGGGCTCCACGTCGCAGAAATGGGCGCTCGCATTATGCGAGAAATGCTGGCGACAGGTGTCGGTCTCCGAGGCGTGGCACGATTCCTTGGTCACGACCTTTTTCAAGAAGGGCGACGCTTCCAAGTGCGAGAATTATCGCCCGACTTGTTTGCTGCAGGCCGGGTATAAGCTCTTCGCCAACATCGTCCTCGAGCGCTTGAAGCAGGCGGGAGCCGAGGAGCGCATCTGGCGCACGCAGTTCGGGTTCAAGCGAGAAGCGGCACAAGTGACGCCGTCTTTCTAGCGAGGCGGCGATTGGAAGAAGTCTGGGCGACCAGAGATGGGCAGATCGTGCTACTGGCGCTCGACTGGGCAAAAGCCTTCGACAGCGTCATGCCCGACGCGATGATCGCGGCCCTGAAGCGCTCTGGGCTCCCAGCGCGTGCGTTGAACATCGTGAGCTCGATCTACAGTGGAAAAAATGTTTGCTGTGAGAGACGCGGGACAGAGGTCTTCCAGGCAGGCGCAGGGATCGGGCATCTGCCAAGGCTGCCCGCTCTCACCATTCCTTTTCGTCATGGTCATGACTGTCCTCCTGGGCGACGCCCGGCGGAGCCTGGGAGATACTGGCGGGGAGATCAGTGACCTCGTTTACGCCGAAGACACGTTGATTGTCGAGGCATCTGCGCCTCAGGCGGAGGCCTACATGAGAGCTCTAGAGTCCAATGGTTCCAATTACGGCCTCGTTTTCAACTGGGGCAAGCTGGAGATGCTGGCCGCGAGGTGCCTCATCCCCCACAAGGAGCAACTTGTCTACTTGGGCAGCGTGCTCTCGGCAGACGGTTCAGCCGGGCCAGAGCTCAATCGACGGCTGGGCCAGGCGAAGGCAGAGTTCGAAGCATTGTCGTGGGTGTGGTCCCGCTCCACGGTGTCGACCCGGAGGAAGCTGATGATCTATGAAGCGTGCGTGCAGACGAAGCTGTTGTACAGCCTCCACACCACCTGGTTGAAGAAGCAGGAGCTGGCCCAGGTGGACGCGTTCCACGCGAGGTGCCTCCGGCGCATTCTTGGCATTGGTCACTCGTTTTGGAGCAGGGTCACCAACGCCAGCGTGCTGCAGCTGGCGGGGCGGATGAAGCTGAGCAGCGTCGTACTGCAGAGGCGATTGTGTTTATTTGGACAGATAGCAAGATGCGCGAGAGGGCACCCTCTCCGAGACGCTATTTTTGCCCCTCCACCCTCCTCCTCCTCCTCCCCCTCCCCCTCCCCTTCCCCTGGCCCTTCTCCCCCGTGCATTCTGAAAAAGCCACCTGGCGTTAGGAAGAAAGGTCGTCCTCGGCAGACGTGGGCCGGAGAAGTCGGCAGGCACGCTGCTGCCTTCTGCGACGATTGCGGTTTTCCCAGAGAGAATACAGATGTCATCCCAGCAGACAGCTGGAAGACGGCTGTGCGGAGGTATTGCGCGCCACGCTAGCTTGTCTTACTGCTCATGTGCTTGTCACGAGGCTTCGCAACAACAACCTCACCCTACTCTGCGCCATAAACATAAACATCATCCTTACCATCATCTCCACCATCACCATACCGTCAGACCCAGGACAGAAGATCATCCTTCAAGAACGTGAGACCCCGCTGGCCAAAGCACCCTAAACCATAAAGAATCACCCGAGGGTACCCTTCCCCAGGATGCACAAGAACATCCAACGAACACTGCAAACATTAGGGTGCCCTCCCCGAACCGACATCGATCTTATACCTCAGTCCGATCGTAATCCTCCGCATCAACACCATCACGATCATCATCACCATCGCCATCGGAACCACCAGCATCTTTACCCGACTCATCCTCATCCAGCTACTCCTCCTCGTACATCAGTTCCGCCCTCTCCTCCTCCTCCTGCTTCTCAGCATCATCATCCTCCTGTTCAGTCTCATTCTATCACTACGCGATATATATATATATATATACACACAGCAGTTGCACGTGTATGAAGTATACATAGGTACATCTATGTGTGGATGTATGTTTATATTTATAGGTTATGTATAATCACCCTCATCCTCATCCTCCTCCATCTCCATCTCACTCCCCCTCCTCCTCGTCCTCCTCCTCCTCCTCCTCCTCCGCCTCACCATCATCATCATCAGCAGCAGCATCATCATCATCCTCTTTATCTTCCTCCTAGTCCTCCTCCTCCTCCTCCTCCTCCTCCTCATAATCCTGTTCTCTCCTCCTCCTCCTCCTCCTCCTCCTCCTCCTCCTGCTTTTCTTGGTTGTCATGCTCCTCCAGGCCCACTTGCTCCTGCTCATCCTCCTCCCCCTCCCCCTCCTCCCCCTCTCCCCTGCGATTCGAAAACGGTACCTGCTCATTCCTGCCTCGACTCCCTGATCCAGACACACCCAAAACATCCGCAGACCTTCGACAGCCTCAGAGGTGGGTACAGAAACAAGTTAACAATCCCCGAAAGAACAACTGAGAAGATCCCTGGTGACATCCCCGAAAATATGGGATGCGGTCCTCTTGCTCACCATGGCCATCTTCCTCCTGCCCCTCCTCGCCCAGCTCCTCCTCCACCGCCTTCTCCTCTTCATCCTCATCCTCCTTCTGCTCCTTCAGCTTCCTCCCCCTCTTGAAAATCCACTTATCCTTCAAGCGGGCCTCTTGCAGCCCAATCGAGGCACGCGCACCCCCATGACTACGCGATGGCCAGAGCTCCAACAATGCCTAGCCCAACAAACCGGCACCTGAGGAACGGGCGGGCACATCCTGCTTCCGCCGGCGGAGCCGCCCTCGATGCGGGCAATAGTTATATCCACATCCAGTGCGTCTTGGAGTCTTGGGCTCTCTTCCCCAGAAAACCGTAGACGCACTGGATATGGATAGAAATCTGGCCCCAAGAGGCTTGATTTTATCCATATCCAGCGCGCCTCGGCGTTGCGGCACCTCTTCCCGAAAAGTCCAAGACGCTCTGGATATGGATATAAGTACTGCCCGCACTCGACTCACACGTCCGCCGGCCTCCGCCGGCCTTCCGATCTCTCAAGGGCGAGGCCCTCTTCGGCGCGCCAGAGGCAGCAGTGGGGCCTCCAGGCCCGCCCCGAGCCTGCCCCGAGCGCTCCACCTCCCGCGCGCGGGCGCCGGCAGCGGGCCGCCCCGCCTCCCGGACGAAGCGCGAGCCCTCCAGCGAGTTGCCCTGGCGGCGGGGCTGGCGCGGAGCGAGGAGCCTGGCTTGTGGGGCCAGCGGGAGCTCCTCCTCGTCCCCCCCGGGTCTGCACGCTGCAGGTGTGTGCCGCGCCTGGCGGGCTCGCCCGCTCTCGGGCCCCGGGGCCCTCACAGACCGATCAGGCTGGAAAAATGAGAAGATGGGGTCTGGGGATCTGGTCGTGAATGCTGGCGATGTTGCCTATTTCTGCAGCGCCAGGTCTGAAGGCCCCCAGGCTTCCGACGATACCCTTCGTTCAGTGCGCGGCCCCAGAGGTCCCGACCCCTTCTCTGTGTCCAGGCTTTGGGCCAGGATCCACTTTTGGTGGCCACGGGGCCCGACATCCGTCCATTTTCCCTACAGATAACACCTCCCTCTCGCGCCTCCAGACGTATCAGTAAGGCGTCCAGGGCGGTTCGCAGGAGACGCCCACACCACATATGATCCTGAGGCTTGGAATTTGCAGCAACTGCGCGTGTGGAGGGTGGCCGGTTTCGAAAACGGGGCTCTCAGGCGAACGCCGCGCACCGTCGTCCGTGGAGCTGACAGCAGCTGCGCGGGTGGAGAGCGGCTCCTTGGCATATAGAAAGTATCGCCTGAGACTTCCCACATACATACATATATATAAATATATATACATATACATGTATATATATACATATACATATATATGTGTATATATATATACATATGAGGTGACCAAACGAGGTCACGAGATCGTGTATGAGAGTGTGAAATCGTGACGGGCCTTCCCAGAGATATGAGGTGATATCGTAGCTCCCAGGTCGCTCTCCCTTGCATACAGAACCTCTCGCTGAAGGTCTCGAGACGTAACGACCGGAAGGTGAAACGTATAGAAGAACCGCACGGATGGAGGGAGGTTGCTTTTCAAAGTGGTGTCGCCTTAGACTTCCTCTAGACCGGCAAGCCGCGAGCATGTGTGAAACATTGTCGACACCGTTGCATTGCTGAAATGGGCGGTGTCTTTTCAAAGCGGGGCGAACCGTTGGACGCACCAACCATCCTTATGATCGCATCTGCCCGAGACCGGTACGATATGGAGAGAAGGTAGAAACTAGTTCCTTGTCATAACGGGTGTCTCTCACTAGTGGCAGACCCGCGGGCTCCTAGTGTCTCAGGGAGCGATACGTGTAATAATGAGAAAGGTCTCTTGAGGCTTATGAGGAGGGGACTCGGGCCCTCTGGCCCTCTGACTCCTCCACCCCCTCCTGCTATGCCTCCTCCTCCTCATCCTCCTCATCCTCCTCCTTTTTCTCCCTCCTCTACATCCTTCCCCCCATATCCCCCCTCCCTGCCCCAAGGAACGTCAGCTGCCGCCCCGGTTCGAGAGCTGTGCCAGGTACAGCGAACCTCTTTCGGGGCGGGCAGCCGCGCGGGCCGGCCCGCGCCCGCGCCAAGGGCGCGCGGGCCCCGCCGCGCCGCCGCTGCAGCGCCGTGCGCGCCTCGGGCGCGTGGGCCCCGCCGCGCCGCCGTGCGCACGCCGCGACAGCAGGGCAGCGAGCTAGCGCGACACAGACGGGCTCGACAACAGCGTGCACAGGCACGTCTGGTGCTGCGGCTGGTCAGCGCCAGCGCCGCGAAGCGCCTCGCAATTCACCAAAGCGCCATGGCGTGGCAGGCCAGAGGCAAAGGCGGCGGAGGGGAGGGTGGTCAGCAGTCCCCACCGCCCCCGCCACCCCCGCCGTGGTGGTGTCCAGCATGCGGGCGTGCAAATGCCGCCAGCGACCTGATGTGCAAGACCTGCTGCCCGCTTCCACAGCAGAGTCCAGCGGCGTTCAGCGCGTTCCGCGATCAGCCGCAGCACCAGCAGCAGCAGCCAGGCAGCGGACAGCAGCAGCAGCAGCACGCAGCAGCGGCAGCGGGAGAGATCAGCACGGAGGAAATGGACGTGACCAGCGGAGGCGGAGGCGTGCTTCAAGGCCAGTGCACAGCAGCGCTCTCCCCAGTCGCCAGCGCAGCCCGAGCCGTCCTCCGCCGCCGGCCCACCCCCAGCAGCGAGATGGCGAGCCTGCGGAGGAACCAGCCCCAGAGATGCCCTTCCGTCGCCAGTCACCCCGCCGGCGCGCCAGCCACCGACGTCACGTTCGACGAGAGTGAGTCTGAGTCGACCGAGGAGACGGCGGATCGTCCAGCTGAGCCACAGGAGGCCCTCGGTGTGCTCCCGGCAATGCCAGAGCAGGCGCGCGCGCACCCAGCCTGGGTACACCCACCGACGGACCCTGCCGCCGTGGTCAACCACAGGCACGATCTCCGCCGCATGGCGGTGGCGTCGGCAAAGATGCTTCGCGCGCCCAGCGAGCTCGGCCTGCCCACCGGCATCCTCGAGGGGCAGGAGCAGGAATACTCAGTCCTGATGACAGTGATCATCGTGGCCAGGACCCCGGAGGAGCGCCTGGCGAGGCAGCGGGCGTTCGTCGAGCGCGCCCAACGCCGCTCAGATCGCGCAAAGAAGGCGGCGCACGAGGCCACGATAGAGCACAAGGCTCGCCAGCTGGTCCAGCAGCACCGCGCCAATGAACTGACTCGCGCACAAGTCTTGCTGCAGCAGCTCGAGACTCCCCGTTGCCAGCCGCCGCCAATGACGTCGAGAATCAGGGCGCCGCAACGCCTGTGGCGGAGAACGCGGCGCCCACCGCGCCCGCGGCGACGGCGCCCGCCCAGGTGTCAGGCGCCTCGGTCGCAGCAATCGCCGAGCCCCGGCAGGGCAAAATGAGCATGGCACAGCAGATCGCGGGGCTGGCCACGGCCCCGGGCGGACTGCAGTCGGCGCCGACGCAGGTCACGGCGGCAGCGAGCATGGCGGCGACTACTGCTACGACGGCCCCAGCCACGCAGCCAGCTGCTGATGCCAATCCTGCCCCGGCTGCGCAGCCCACGCAGCACGTCGCCGCAGTGCCACAGGCTGCTGCTACACAGCCCCCTGCCGCAGCATGTCCTGCGACGACGGCGGCTCAGCTCCAGGCGCAGGCAGCGATTGACGCAAAGGATGCAGACAAGGATGAGAACGCCACAGCAGATGCCAGTCAGGCTGCGTCGGATGAGCGCAAGGCGGCTCGCCAGGCGCGCGCTCGCGCCGCTGCCGAGGCTCGCGCGAAGGCGGCGGCGGACGAGAAGGCAGCCCTGCAGGCCCAGGGCTTGGCGGCTGTTGGGCGGCCCACCCTGAAGACAGTCATTGCAACGTCAAGTTCTGCGACGATTCCAGGGGGCGCGCTTCCGCGCGCGGTGCCGGGCGAGGAGCGCCCCGAACCAGCGGGCAGAGAGTAGCCAGCAGGTGGCGGAAGCCGCGAACGCAGCCCGCGCCGCACGAACGCGGAGGAGGTTCGCGCTGGCCAGAGTTCTGAGGACGACATCAACGCGACGCAGGCGAGCCCGTCGCAGAAGGGGCGAGCCAGCTTGCAGAGCCGCTAGGCGCCAGTGGGGATCAGCCCGGATGGGCCCCGAGCGCCGCGGCTCTGCCGGGGCACTCGGCCCCGTCACTTTTTCCGGACATGCCGCCCGTCAGTCCAGTTCCCGACTGCGGCGCCTTAGCAGCATTGCTCACGGCCCAACGGCAAGACGCAGTGATCTCTCCCATTGTCGTGGCGCCGCCATCCACACAACATCCTGTGCCATGCCTCTTTCGCCATCGTCTTCATTCTAGTACCGTTGAGTTTCTGACACAGCATGCCTGCTCTAACGATGTTCACGACGATGACATTGATCATTTTTAGTGTACACAGACGGATCGGGAGGGTCAGACAGCACGGACATACAGCGGCGACCATCATGGGCGTTTGCTGTGCGCGGTGTGGCGCAGGACTGTAAACATCGGATGGACGGTTATATGGCCGGATCCACCCCATCACCTCAAGAGGAGTACGTGAGCCCGTCCAGTCCCGCCGAGTCTCATGCTGCTCCTTGGTTTGTTATTTGACTCCTTCAGGCACCTTTATCGGTCGGGGCGCATTAATGTTCTTTCGGGTAACATGATGGTGGTAGAAGCTGCTGCAGGAAATGTGATGTACAGATATTGCGGTGCGTTGCCCATCCTGTTAGACTCACTTGTGAAGCTGGCGCGAGTACGCTTGCATGTCCCAGGTCACACTGCGCATCCACTGAACGAACTTGTAGATGCACTTGCTCGCCGTGTGTCGATCATGGATATACCGGATCGTCCAGAAGACCGGGTGCCTTGGTCTATACGACTCTCTCAGATGGACAAGGTTCCATGCTCATGGTTGACAGCCGACGCCCACTGCGGTGGTGTCCCCTCTGCGAGCTCTCTCGTCGCCCGCTGCTGGATCGACAGTACGAGATAGTCAGCATCCAGACCCGGACAGTCCACGGGATGCAGGCGCCATCGTCTTTCTGCAAACTCAGGTTCGGAGTCGCGGACGTACTTACACTGCGACCACGGAGACGGCCTACACGCTCGCAAGGAATACGTATACGATGCACGTACCCGGATGCAGCTGGCATATCCCCGGCCGCATGCTAGCCCTTGCGCATCAGTGTGCACGTTGTCAATATCTATTCGTAGGCACGCTTGAGACACGACTGAGGCACAACACTTGGCACGAAAATGATCCGCATCTCGTGGTGACGTCAGCAGCCGAAGCAAATCGTTGCTACGGGATTGCGTTGTGGGCGAACACAGGATTGGGATACCTCCCTGGCTGCGCGCTAAACAGAAGACATTTTCGGGCACTCTCACATGATTCGCGGCATTTGCTTGTAGCTGTGCGGGCCCCCTCGCTACGCATCGGTGCTAGTGTTGCACGCGCGCCGCATGCGCGTGCGACGGGAGGTCTCGACATGGTAGCACAGCGGTGGACACGCATGCGCGACATTGTACTCACGCGGCCTTGTCAGGCCCCACTGTTTTGTCTACTGGACGCAAACGCCACTGTCGGGACGGTTCCGCCCAGCCACGCGGGCCCCGTGGGCGCCGAGCAAGAAAACGAGACCGGGCACTGGTTTCACGATTTCCC